TCCTTCATTAAGACCAGCCAGGGCCTAACTCAGGCTGCTGCTGTTCACAGGATTTTTGTTCCCCCTCCTTTCAGTGATCGGCGTGTTGTACCGGGCTCACGTTGAGCTGTAATAAAATAATAATTTCAAAAAAGTCGTTTATTTTAGTGTAATCACATTTATTCGTGACAACGTGGCCTGTGACTAAATCATCAAGAATGTGCCACATCTCGTCAGATGGTCCAATAAAGCTTCTATGCTCCCACTTTTACTGCGTGTAAGCTCCATGCCTTCAACCCACACTAACCAGTGTGAAGTATGGACAAACAATCCTCAAGGTCCCAAATCGTGTGGAAAGACCCTCATCCAGCAGTGGATTGACAAAAGTTGAATCCACAGTATTCATATCTCTTATTGGCAGTTGGCTCACTAATTTATATGCAGATCAGTTACGGCGCAATGAATGTCAGTTAAATGGACCATATTTTAGTCATAAAGCTAGAACATTTTAACATTGTTGCCGTAAATCATTTTAATTACGTGAAGGTTAATGGTTTGAATAAATAACCATATTTATTATTCAAAAGCCAACACTTGCAGTGAACCCGCGTTTGTTGGTGGAAGAGCGCTCTCTAGAGACTCAAATGCTGTAATGCAGTTTAACACGCATGTAGACTTTCGCGACCAATAGCCATAACTAACGTTGTACTGGTAGGAACCTCCTGGTTACACCATCCCACAGGGGATTATTGTGTCCGTTCGTCCGTCGTGCAGGGAGGGGCTGGGTGGGGAGGGTGAGGCTGGGTGGGGAGGGTGGGGAGGGGCTGGGTGGGGAGGGTGGGGCTGGGTGGGGAGGGGCTGGTCACCCCGTGGTGCCCTTATAAAACTCAACGTTTAACCCACTCCCGCCGGCTTGTGCCCGCCCTCACAGTCGGCCATATTTGTGGAATACACCACGCCGCCGTTGACCCTGGCCATTGACCCAGCAACCCAACGTTCCTACCAGCTCCCTCCGCAGGAATGTGTTTTTGGATTGGATGGCGTGAATATGAATATGCCGTTAAATCCGCCGCCACCTGACACAGCCAATTTGTAAGGTTTGCCACGCAAACAAAACGTGCCAATTAGTTACTAGTTCAGCACACAGGTGCGTTGAAGAGTAAACTCACAACATTTACAATTCGAGTACGACGTTTCGCTGATGATTACAACCAGCATCACATCGCCCAAAATAGCATCTTAAAAAGACCCAAATCTATATAGAGAACAGATCATACTTTTCCGTATCAACTGTGAAATTATTTATAGAAGATGCGTGTGACTACTCTCCTGTAATAACTTACAAGTGAATCAAGTTTATCTATCAATGTTCAATACGGTACAGCGCTCTGTGTACTTTATATATTAATTGTATATGTTTTCCATATGTCGTCCCAATTATCAAGTACCTTCCCAAACACTACAGCAAGTGAAGTTGAAATGGAAAAGCATGCATATTTTATTCGTGTGAACTGATGAATTTTCCATACAAAACACATGGTCTCCTGTGCCTATTGCATAAATCTATCACGTAACTTGAATGTTAGTCTACTGCCAGGGACCTTCTAGTGGATGCCAGACAAAACCCTGTTACATATTTCATTTTCAGTTTGGCAGGGAATGTCTTAGCATCCCAAAAAAATCGGCCAATATTAACCCAACCATAGTTTTGAGGCGAGTGCAACTCGATCAGACAATAACCAAGATCCAGAGGCGTCAAATTAGCCTATTGTTGGTATTCTTGGTTCTTTCGGTAAAGTCACGTAGAAGGGAAATAATAAAATAATAAAAATAACACATAATAAAAAATGATGTTTTGTTTTATATATTTTATTATAAAAATAAAATATAATACATAATTATGTTTTTATTTTATTGTATTATTATTTCCCTTCTATGTGACATTACCGAAAGAACCAAGAATATGAATCCGTGCAGTCACGAACGCTTTAAATCGAAGCCTCTTGTTTGTTTATGCCTTCACAATTCGCGTTTGTCTGTGAAGTGAAACACGCTTCTATCTGCAAAATCATTATTCTTATTAAGATCGTGCGTGTTGACTTCGGAAAGGCTCCATGACTCTTTTTTAGGGCTTCTCTCGCAGTGTGGCAATTTATTTGGCGAATAGCAATTCATGCTGCGCGTATTAAAAAAGTTAACATTGAGATATTATGTTTATGATCAAATGATGTGTGTCCATTCTGGCTATACATGTCTGTCGGAACCTTGATTCTTAATTGTTGTGCGATTTTAAGCCTTTTTTATTTAAACCAAAAAACCCACTATTATCTGTAAACCGTGACTCAGTATTCGTGATCGATAAAAAAACCTCCCAATATCCGCACCCACTTCTTATTATCTGCGATTTCCCACCGTTGTTTGCGGATAAGTGGAGTCGTTCTTAACGTTACGGATAATTAGTATGATCTGTGATGGCCATCCCCCACCCACATCGCCGCGCGGATAAGAGGAGTCCGTTCCACTCCCACGGCAAGTGAATCAACCCACGATGTGCGCTTGCTTACGTACGGTGCGAAAGAAGTTCTACAGTTCTAGATTGGAAGTTTTCGTGACTGCAAGGGGCCATACTCTTTGTTTTTTTCGGAAAAAAGTCACGTAGGTAAAAACGTCGTGATTTAATTTATTTTGTATTTTATTTTTTACCGACGTGACGTTCACCGAAAAGACCAAAGAGTAAGTTCTCCAATCACAATACAAGCCATTCAACCCATTGCGCCATCGCTTGACATCCCGTGATTCTTTGAAACTTGTGGTTTTACGCCCTCTGTTATACTTCTGCTGTTGTCATTATAATTATGGTGTTTTCTCGAAATGTTGCAGATTTGAGAACCCTTAATAAGGGCCAAGTCCACAACAATAGTGAAGACCTTCCGCTTCCAGGAGGCGTTATTATGGTGGTGTGGGGAGCGGTGGCGCAGCGGTTAGCGCGCTCTTGGACAGCACCGGTGACGATTGTCTGCATCGATCCTGGGGCTCCCATAAGTCGACTCAACTTCAAATGACGTCGCTGGTGCGATGTGTAAACATCATTGCTTCGGAGATAAAGGCGGTCCGGCCACCCACCCCATCGTGTGCTGTGCCGACCTTCGTAGGTGCTCGCGAACAGCACTTGCCGCAATAGTCTGTCACAGGCTATACGGGGGAGCTTTGGTGCAGGGGAGGAGGAGGAGACGTGATGGTGGTGGAAGGGAGGGGGAGGAGGAGGAGACGTGATGGTGGTGGAAGGGAGGAGGAGGCGTCATGATGATGGTGGTGGTGCAGGGGAGGAGGAGGAGACGTGATGGTGAAGGGGAGGAGGAGGAGGCGTCATGATGATGGTGGTGGTGCAGGGGAGGAGGAGGAGACGTGATGGTGGTGAAGGGGAGGAGGAGGAGGCGTCATGATGATGGTGGTGGTGCAGGGGAGGAGGAGGAGACGTGATGGTGGTGGTGGTGCAGGGGAGGAGGAGGCGTCATGATGATGGTGGTGGTGGTGAAGTTGAGGAGGAGGAGGCGTCATGATGATGGTGGTGGTGGTGAAGTTGAGGAGGAGGAGACGTGATGATGGTGGTAGTGGTGGTGAAGGGGAGGAGGAGGAGGCGTCATGATGATGGTGGTGGTGCAGGGGAGGAGGAGGAGACGTGATGGTGGTGAAGGGGAGGAGGAGGAGGCGTCATGATGATGGTGGTGGTGCAGGGGAGGAGGAGGAGACGTGATGGTGGTGGTGGTGCAGGGGAGGAGGAGGCGTCATGATGATGGTGGTGGTGGTGAAGTTGAGGAGGAGGAGGCGTCATGATGATGGTGGTGGTGGTGAAGTTGAGGAGGAGGAGACGTGATGATGGTGGTAGTGGTGGTGAAGGGGAGGAGGAGGAGGCGTCATGATGATGGTAGTGGTGGTGAAGGGGAGGAGGAGGAGACGTGATGGTGGTGGTGGTGGAGGTTGAGGAGACGTGATGGTGGTGGTGGTGGTGGAGGTTGAGGAGACGTGATGGTGGTGGTGGTGGTGGAGGTTGAGGAGACGTGATGGTGGTGCAGGGGAGGAGGAGGCGTCATGATGATGGTGGTGGTGAAGGGGAGGAGGAGGAGACGTGGTGGTGGTGGTGGTGAAGTTGAGGAGGAGGAGACGTGATGATGGTGGTGGTGGTGAAGGGGAGGAGGAGGAGACGTGGTGGTGGTGGTGGTGAAGTTGAGGAGGAGGAGACGTGATGATGGTGGTGGTGGTGAAGGGGAGGAGGAGGAGACGTGGTGGTGGTGGTGGTGAAGGGGAGGAGGAGGAGACGTGATGGTGGTGGTGGTGAAGGGGAGGAGGAGGAGACGTGATGGTGGTGGTGGTGAAGGGGAGGAGGAGGAGACGTGGTGGTGGTGAAGTTGAGGAGGAGGAGACGTGATGGTGGTGGTGGTGGTGAAGGGGAGGAGGAGGAGACGTGATGATGGTGGTGGTGGTGGTGAAGGGGAGGAGGAGGAGACGTGGTGGTGGTGGTGGTGGTGGTGAAGTTGAGGAGGAGGAGACGTGATGATGGTGGTGGTGAAGGGGGTGAGGAGGAGACGTGGTGGTGATGGTGGTGAAGGGGATGAGGAGGAGACATGGTGGTGGTGGTGGTGGTGAAGGGGAGGAGGAGGAGACGTGATGGTGGTGGTGGTGGTGAAGGGGAGGAGGAGGAGACGTGGTGGTGGTGGTGGTGGTGAAGGGGAGGAGGAGGAGACGTGGTGGTGATGGTGGTGAAGGGGAGGAGGAGGAGACGTGGTGGTGGTGATGGTGGTGAAGGGGATGAGGAGGAGACGTGGTGGTGGTGGTGGTGAAGGGGAGGAGGAGGAGACGTGATGGTGGTGGTGGTGAAGGGGATGAGGAGGAGACGTGGTGGTGGTGGTGGTGGTGGAGGGGAGGAGGAGGAAACGTCATGATGATGATGATGGTGGTGGAGGGGAGGAGGAGGAGGAGGAAGCTGAAGGCGGGGGGAGTCGGGGATCCGGCTGCGTGCAGCAGGAGCAGCTGCTGCTGACAGACGACTTAGAGCGGCAGGAGGAGGAGGGCTTCTCGTGCAGCAGCAGCAGCAGCAGCTCAACCATCGCTCTTCTTCCAAGGGACGCGTCTTCCACGACGACATGGTGAGAGACGTACTCTACAAGTCTTCAAGTAACACGGTCTGCAAGTTTGTTCTGGGCTTAACGTTGTTTAAGCGAACACATTTAATCGGATACCGTATTCTCCGCATTGTAAGACGCACCGGTGTTTTAAAGCAAAAGTCGTGGATGCAGAACAGTTTTGTTTCACTTTACTTATAGCGGGCAAGGGTTTTGTTGGTTGGGGGTGTGCAATCTCACTTGCCCGAGTCTTGTGTAAAAACCGGAGAATGAAGTCCATTGTTTCACCACCGCTATTTGTGACTTGTGCGGGTTACGTGAAGAAGCTCTGTCGGGGGGTGTGGGGGAAGTTTTTGAAGGAGTGCCCTGGCAGCTGTTTTGGAGGCATGGCACGAGGCGCGTTATTGGGGTTTCTAATTTGGCGTGTCACGCTGCCTGGTGAGAGCCGTGGGACAATAGAGATAAATGTAATATTTATAGATGTACTGGGAAATAGGAGAGTACAGTATAACTGGAATTCCTTATATCCGCGTGTATATTGGGGTGCTATTGGCAGATCATTATCCGCTCCGAGACATGAAATTATCTCAGTGCGGTTAGGATTCATTTTCTAATTAACCTGCAAAAAAACTGCTGACACGACAATGGATTTAACACGATGGGTAACACTTTGGCCTTTTATCCAGGAAATATTGAGCCTTCAGGCTTTTTCATGAGGTTCCTCTACTGGGTTGTTTGGCCAATTGACAAATTATTGTTTAGGTTTTTGGAGGAAGCTGCAGTACAGTACTTGAAGAAAACCCACACATAAGAGGGGATAACGGATATCCACACAGATTGTTCACGAACCCATTTGTTGTACTACCAACTGATGGATAATTATAAATGAATGGTATATTTGCTGGCGTTTGAGAGTAAGAGGATCTGAATGGCCACATTTCTATTCTCATAGAGGAGTTCAATGGATTAAAAGCTTCAACATGTCAAATCAAGTGGGTCCAATCTGTCAGTTTTCAGAATATCAGTAACTGTGTCAGCTCGGTGGGAATAAAAGAACATGGGGTAGACTTGCGTGAGATATGCCAAAGGTGCATACGATGCGCCTTCTTAAATCTTAACGCTGCGATGAACACTGGTCTGTTCATTCACCACTGCATGGTGCAACCCCACGAGAAAGTGTGTTGCAAATTTTTAATGAGCGTTTAGTTTTCCATAAGCCTTTGCACATTTCTTGATTAATGGAGCCACCGCTTGAGAGCAGAAATGTCCATGCCAGGTTTTTCAAAGGGCACATTGTAAGTACTGTAAAGTCAAAGTTCAATTGCTTGATTTTTAGCCGAGTTAAAGACTGTTGTGAAACATCTAACTTTTTACAGTGTAATACAAAATGTGTTTTACTTCGTTTTTGTTATGCAAATGCTCTATGTCATGATCAGCCATGGTCGATATGCCTCCCCAAGTCACCATCATCTCTCATAACACTGTTATTTAACAATCTGCCAGCTCCAAATGTTCTATATACATCGGGTTTAAATTGTTGAGGCATCCTTAAAAAGGTTTAGTATTTTCACTTTTCACATTTTCAATGATTGGAAACTGAGCAGGGTTAAGCATGGATAGTGCTTGGATGGGTGACCACGATTGCTCAAACAGGTTGTCGTAGGGCTTCTGGAGCTTTTGGTGGGCAGCAAAGAGCAGTGCAGCAAATCAACTTGTGGGACTCTACTCCTTTGTTTCCAGCATAGTAAAGTATGACCACATAACCCCCATGACCCACACGGCATGTGCAGGTCCTCATCCTGTAGTGGATTAACAAAGGGCTGTACATGTATCTTTAGACGCTTTAATACAGTGCTTCATTGTGGCATATTGGCATCCCCCATTGCCGCTCAGCATTAGTGTCAAGTCGATCAATAGAGAAGTGTTTGCCCGTCTCAGATTGACCTTTTGTTCCTTGCAAATAAAAAAAAGTACAGTGTTCTTGGCTCCAGCAGAATATAAACACGCCGTTCTTTTCATAGCCTGAATGGGATAAAATGAATTGGAAAATAAATAAATAAGCGTCAAAAAATTGCTGAACGCATGCAGTCACCCCTCGGCAGAATACAACATCTGAATCTCTCTTATATTTGGTAACGCAAGCAGTTTTTTTTATAGCCACAAAATTAAGTGGGGATTTTAAAAGGTTGCAGGTAAGTTGGTGAGTTGTGGAAAGTGTTCAACTGTTCTCCAGTGTCGTTCGCCAACTTTTCGTTCGATTCATAAGCAACAAGAAATATACCGCCCAAAGTTTGCTGTGCTTTTTAAATCACTAACTGGTTAAATTATGGATCTAAAATTAGTTTATAAGGCAAGTGATCAACATGCACTGACCACCTAGGTAAACCATGGTCATTTAATCCCAATGACCCACACGGCATGTGTGGAGGTCCCTCATCCAGCAGTGGATTGATAAAGGGCTGGGCATATACACGTTACTGTATCATTAATATCGTAAAAGATTATATACATCTTTTGTCTACGCTTATTCGTGGGATTGCTGTCTGTTAAAGATTAGAACGGTATTGTTTAACTCTTGGTCTTAATAGTGTGCCACGTTTCCAACCTTTAAACTGGACAGCACATTGCAGTTAGCTATATAAGGTGTATGCGTTGAAACGTTTATGAAAAGAGGTGACAATGAAACGGCAATAAAACGTGACATGTATGTATGCCTGTGGGTGACATTGCTTTGAAGACGGAGTCCCTGGTGGTGTGCGAGGTTGACCAAGGCTTGAAAGACAAGTTGAAGAAATTTCGTTTCCGCAAAGAGACCACCAATGCGGCCATCATAAGTGAGCCAACACCCATCTGTGCACTGATAATATACGTGCACTGTATACACACTAGTTCTGCATTTTCCACACTTAAACATTTGCCTTTAAATATTACCAAAGACAAGGCTAATGCAGATTTGGTTTTACTTTAATATATTTTTTAGAAACATACCAAACGATCTTTTGTGTTATAAATCAGATTTGTCTGCCTTCATCCAGGTATCGAGATGGTCTTTTTAAAACATTTGTTAGTGCAATTAAATGAGAATAATTTCTTAAATCAGCCTACGTGTTAAACATTTATTTTTTATTTTAATACATTTATGGAAGAAGCCACACCTAAAGATTTTCTACTGTAGATATTATATTCTTAGGTTTATTCCACCTGAAGACGGAAGCTTGTGTTGCCTCCAAAACGTCGTGATTTTTATTTTATTTTACTTTTATTAATTTTAATTTTTTACCTTCGTGACTTTACCGAAAAAACCTAAGAATATGAATCCTTGCAGTCACGAAAGCTTCAAATCTAGAACTGTAGACATTGTTTTTTTATTAATGTGGCAGTTTATTTTTCTTTAATCATACATTGCAACTGACAAATGGCAACAACAAAAAATCAATACCAATTCATTGAAATTTTAAGTTTTTAAAGTTTTTTATATATAAACAGGCAAAAGAGTTATTGGAAATATGTAAACGTAAAAAAGTAGCTCTGGCTATTACGTTACACAGGAATATGTATTTAAATATTAACCACAGTTATCAGGTATTCCATGCAATGATTGTGGCACACCTTTGATATATATAGAGTTTCAATCTAACAGTGGACTAATGCCCTACATTATTTTATGAACACCATCATCGGTTAAAGTAAGATTGTGCCATTTACATTGATTGTATTCAAGTCACGCAACTGGTAGGGGTGAGGTTTTACGTCATTTTGAACGTTAAATCTATGCCAGCATAACATATCCCAGAGACCAAAACATGTTTCTTTAGATAACATCCATTGGTCTGTAATCGCACGATAACCGGTGCAAAATATGTCTGCAAAGGAAGTGCATTTGGCCCACTCATGTTGAAGCTTTTTTTTTACGAATCTCAAATACTAAATACTCTTAACTCTCAATACTCTGGAGCACTGATAAAGTTCGACCGTTGACCCATGGTCGTTGATGTTAACTATTGCTACTTAAACAGAAGGAATAACATGTGCAGGATGCTCCTATGTTGGTGACTGGATCAATATTTTACAGCCAGAATGCCTTGAGTTATTGCAGTTCATATACTATAGATAATACGTTTTGCATGCCGTGTACACACACACACACGTATCTTATTTAAAACCCATTTTTATGTTAGGAATGTTTGCCAGTGTAGAGTAATGCTTACCTTACCTTATTGTATGTGGTAGTCGTTACCGGGTGGAAATAACGTTATCATTGTGGGTTAAAGTAAGTCTTATGCAAATGTACAAAACACCTTATCTGGTCGAGCATTTGCTTCCCTTGAGCGTGTGTAAATGCAAACTCGCCACAAGGCTACGGTGCCACTGAGTAATGTCCCAATTTTTGTGATATGTTCTACTCATAAAACAATGCTCCATCATAAATACATTTTATTGCCCTTGGGACGATCATGTAAATCATTGGATATCTATTCACATGTGTGCAATCATGTGATTAGACCATGCACAGTGCACAGCTGTTGTGTATGGACAGAGAGTAATCGGCGAGGAGCATTATTACCACGGGTATTTTGGGGAATTAATACGCTGCGTTTCTGACCAAAACAGCTATGAATGGCCGCCACTTTTGTTAAGCAACATATGTTAAGAAATATGTTGCTTAACCCGTATTGCGTGTCTCCTTCAGTGAATTATTCATTTGCATGCTTACAATATCTAATTTAAAAGGCACAGACAATATAGCACTGTAGTGGTGAATTAATGCTCTTACATATTTAAAGGTTATGTTTTTTACATGAGTAAAAGGACATTGGTGAACATTGTCGATTGTTTGTTTCCTACTGAGAAGGAATGGTTTGTTTTCCACGTTGTATTGGATGTGTCTACTGGTTTGCTTAAACAAAGAGCCTGTTTTACAGTGAAGATTGACAAGGACCGCCAAGTGGTGGTGATGGAGGAAGAGTACGAGGTACAATGTTCATATTTAGTAATTACAATGTTATATTTCTTGATTAAAATATTTCACCTGGAAACTCGCTTGAGCTGGAACGTATAATTTGCAAGATTGTCGGTCCAATTAGTCTTTAGTATCTATCACATGTTCCATAGTTTTTATTAATAATAAAAACAAACACTTAATTTTTTTTTTAACTATCTGTAAAAAAAGCTAAATGTCATAATTGAACATTTTACCACAAGAATATTGAAAATTACTAGTAATGCCACATTATAATTACATGTCACAGCAAATCATCGCTGGCTTTAGTGTTTATCAGTGAATGTAAGGCCTATAACTGCTGTATAAACATAATGTTGTTTACATTAGTATTTTACATATATATGCGTTTGCAGGGAATATTGCATATACAATTCCAGGTCATGTTTTATAGCCCAGGTTACATCAGTCGATCCTCAGCCACAGCTGACATTATTGGTGAGTGATATCTGAAACAGAGGCCGCCTCCTCCCTTCGCCGACATGGTGTGGGAAGGCCTTAATTCAGAAGTGGATTTATACAGGGCTGTACAGTACATATCTTATCATAATTAATTAGATTAGCACACAGTTCACTTTATTGTAGGCTGTACATATTAATTTCAAGGGTTGTATAAAAACTGTTTCTTAAATTATCCTCTTTTTATGCTATTTCAGCATTGAAAAATCTAACTCTTTGCTTTTGGTTTGTAGAAATGTAGAACAATTACAATAAAACTCTGTAACCTGCTGCTACTCAATAGCCAAATGCTCAAAAGATAAAATCTTGTCTTGTATTTGACTTTTGAGTCATACTATTTTAGTATTGTTTACTTCCGACTTGTTACATTTCGAGCAATTAGAGTAAAGCATTAGTGACAATTCAAAAAGAAGGTTAACCTATTCTTTGGTTCTTTCGGTAAAGTCACATAGATAGAAAAATAAAAATAAAGTTAATAAAAATTAAAAACTAAAACCACGATGTTTGGATCGCAACACAAGCGGTCGTGAGGAAAAGGGGGTTCGCCTCTAAAGGCAAACTGTTTATAAAGGTTTAAAATTGGCGTAGCCCAAGTGTCAGCAGCATGGGCGGGGCAGCTAATGTTTTTTATTTTATTAATTTTATTCACTTTCTTTATATTATTTTTCTATCTACGTGACTTTACCGAAATAACCAAAGAATATTAATTCCTGCAGTCACGAAAGTTTTAAGTCAGAAGGTAAACCTACCTATATGTCAGGTTTGGCAAATGTTTAAAAAAAAAACCCCTTCTGTTTAGGTAAATACTTTGAATACTTAATTCTTGTAAATATACTTGGGTGAAAATTATTAATCCCCAGAATTTCCAGCTGAGAGGCTATTTGTAGAATACTGGATTAAATAGACGTGTGTATTCTGCAAGACATTCATGGTTTATTAACTTTTTGTCTGTGCAACTGGAACGATCAGGACATATCACCGGAGGACCTCAAGGAAGAGTTGCCAGAAAGGCAGCCCAGATATCCTTGAAAACAGCAGTCTGTGGAATCTCACATGAGGCCAACTGTAATTCTGATCACTCGACTTGGCTGTGATAGCCGATGAGTCAGTGCATGCGCAGCAGCCAGCTGAAAGTGATGTGGAGCTCCACAGTGAAAACAACAAGCAAGCTTAGAGACTGGTTCCTGTATTGCGAAAATAAGATCACTCTGTCACTCCTTTCAAAACCGCGGATAACTTCACCTGTTGCATGGGCCATACTGTTCAGACTTCAGAGATTAATGTTAACATTTAAAGACAGTTACGTAATTAATATATAAATACAACAAGGTAAAAATGTGTGTCTTAAAAGCTTCCATTGGTCTAACTGGTCAGACAGTATAACTTCATGGCTAAGTCATCAGTGTGATGGTTAATTTTATTCACAGCATATCTCTTGTTGATGGAGAGTAAGGCCTATTATTTGCCCCTGTTACACATCGTATTCATATCTCTTAATCGGGAAAGGGTTAATAACTTTGAGTAGATACACTTGAACCTGACAATCTTATTTCGCAAACCAATATGACCTCATATCAATAAATTATTGTCATCGATATTTTCCAACTTAAGCAATGTACTCTCGTTTCTTTTCCTTATACTTTCAAGAAGATAAGTTATCATCTCCAATATATTTTCTTTGACATGAAATTATACTTTTTTCTATGTGATTGTTAAGTTATATGTTACCTTCAGTTGACATGGTTGACACTGGCGTAAGTGCTGTAAAGAGATGTCTCCCCCCCCCCCCCCCATTTTATTTTATCGACATTAAAGAAGTGTGATATATCAGATGCTGTTGTAGGTCCTTGACTGCATTTCACATTCATCCTGTACAGCTACAAATACCACCACACGGATGGACGGATATCCTACCCACTGTGTTTCATTTTCTGCAGTCCCCTGGGTAAGTGACTGCACCTGTGCATTAGTTTGCACGGTATCACTGCAATCCATACAGCATTTACTGTCGCCTTGGATTGATTGAATGACCTTACCATTCAACTATGACATCTATACAAACTGTTGCGTACATGCCATACAAAATAAGAAGTGTGCACGTCACTGTGATCATAGTGGTGTTCGTTTCTAGTCATTTTATCAAATTGTACTTTCGAGATGTATCACGTATATTCACGTACCGTGCTGCAGTCAATTATTCTGTCCCAATGAAATGGTGATTATAACGAAGTTAACATCAGGCTCTCTATTGCGTACGGCGATATGTTCAGGAGTTCAATGCCAATGTCGAGGTGTGATAGCCAGGAGAGGTCTTCAGAAGAGCGATTGAAGGAGTGCATGTGACAGTGGTTTAGTCTATGGTCCATAGTTGGAGTGGCATGGCCACAGCCACACTGCGGTTTGTCTTTAATTTTCCATGAATGAAGGCAAAACATCAGGTTGTTGTGGTTGATATAAAACACACGAGTGTGGATGTCTGGGATGCCCTTAGTTGTCGGATGAAAACTGCCTGTGCGTGTCGTTGTTTTAGGCTGCAAGCCCGAGCAGCAGATGATGTACGCTGGCAGCAAGAACACGCTGGTGCACACAGCGGAGCTCACCAAGGTATGCAACAGGGATACACAGTGCATTGACAATGCATTGTGCAGCATCTCCCATTTCATTTTAGATTTCCTAAGGGCGAGGGATGGGGGTGTGGGTCACAACTGGTAAAGGTACCGGTCATCACTATCCCTTTTGTTCATGGCTCTTTTTATTCAACAAGAGGGGCTTGTGCCCCCTACCGGGTCAATTTGGTAATTGTAGCCGACCTCGCCCGTGAGTGCACACTCACTCCCGTGTGTGTGTGGTGTGTGTGCGTGCGAATGCGGACCAACCTCGCCACAGAAATGCCTCTCCAATCTCGTGATGTCACTTTCTTCTACCATTCTTACTAGCTCGTAGCGTGGCCACAGGAAGCAACGGGATTGTCATCGTTAATGCTAATGGGCCAATATAAAACCCGTGAGACAGGTTTGGTTTTGTAAAAAAAAATCTTATTATAAAAATGAACAGTGGCATGTTGTGTCATGCCACGCTGCAGCATATTGATGGTTGCAATCACATCCGTCGACTACAAGCAGTCTACTTGTTTTCGGGCTGCAGTCTTGCCTAACAAGAGGCTCCGTCTCTCTTTCATCCAGCATTCAGTTGTGATGACTGCTCGAGAAAGAAATGCAGTCCTATCTGCACGCGTTATCCCGCATGCTATACAGTGATGTTACACCGCCAACTGCTCTTATACTCAGGATCATTCAGGGAAGACTTTGAACCCAAAAGCTGACCGGCATTTTTGGTCACGTTCGGCAGCTTGCGTAATGCATCCCGTGCAATGCTGTGCAATGCTGAGCAATGGTTTGCCAACATGAATGTGTGCGAGTACAAGCCAAATGGAAATCTGGTTGCGTTCGCATGCTTCAGCATTTGCATCAGCAATCCGTTTTTTTTAGCAGTGCTTATTGTCACTGTCTATGCATTTGTTCAACAGCTAGTGCTTATTTGTTTTTCCTTTTTTTAACCTACGTTACTTGACCGAAAAAAACGAGTATAGTGTTCATCTGTCATTTCTTAGATTATTCTGTGGCCATACAAGCCAGTGTTCCAAACTGATAAGTACGATTTCTTAGAAACGTATGATGGTAGCACTGTTTTGTGTATACACGTTGACGGTTTGAAATATGAAATAAATTTGCAGTAAAGTGGATTCCTGTTAAAACCAAATGCTTGTTTATGTGATATCTAATAATTTCATGACACATATGAGCGCGTTTACAATTCTGGCAAATGTTTCCGTCAGAAAAAAATACTTCCAATGCACAGATTATATTATCATTTCCAATATTAAATAACTATAATCATATTGCCAAAAGCTGCAGCGATCTTGAACAGCATGTAAGAGACGCATTCAAGACATTCACACCGGGGATGTTAGCGAACACATAGGACTAACATATCTCAAAATTATTTGTGTATCCCACTCTATGGCAGACAGCTGGAAATTTATAGAAAACTCGTACAATGAAATCTTCAGTCCCGTGTGTGTGTATATATAGTTGTATTGACCGAACTCAATGTATGGTCATATTTTAATTCTTTAATGGATGATACCTTCATGAACACCCTACATATGTTAATATTGCACTGCAATCACTGAATAAATTGTAATATATTATATATTTTTACTTCCTGTTAATAATTGTCTTTTAGGTTTTACCCCCCCCCCCCCATTCCCTATGACCTCCTGCTCCTTGGAAAAATTATCGGAATAACTAACTTTCACCGTATCGTTAATGATGTTACAGCAATTTATGTGGTCGGCCATTGATTAATTCATACTTAATGTGATGTTACTGGGTCAGTCCACTTATAGTGTGGCATTTTCTCGTAACATGCTTAAAAACCATTTGCAGGCGGAATAAACATTCCTGCATTAATGTTGCAAGAACATTCGGTGTATTATGTGTGTGGAACAGAGTATAAAGATGCATTGCTCAATAAAGAAATATAAATGCCATATTCAGATGTGGAAATGGGCATAATTAGACTATAAAGCAACCCTGATGAGATTTGGTGATACCACTTGATTAAATTCTGAATCATTATAGTATTATAGAACATTCATCTTTATACTTGTTATTTAAAACAAAAATCCTGTATAAAGGTCAGCACAGGTGCATGCATGTTACATACAGAAAACTGAGGAATTGTCATCAAGGAGTACTCGACATCCATTGCAGGACTGTGCAATTTTGTAAAACATTCCAAAGCAACATCTGCGAGGTATTATTTTGAGGTGGAAATGTGTATGTGTAGCCCCTTTTGCCAATCCACTGCTGTATAAGGGCCCCCCCAAAGCCATGTGGGAGTTTAATTTACAATATATGTATTTGTTTTATTTTGTTGTTTAAATCGTAGGCCTGTAGTCAATGATACCCCCACCATGATTTGGCTTGCATATACTTGGTAGAAATGTCTGTCTCGTGTAAACCAACTGCCTCACTTGTACTGTCCTCGATGTTCTGTCTCGTTACATGCCTATTAGTTGCAGATGTATTGCCTCACTCACTCTCCCCATCAGGTGTTTGAGATCCGCAGTGTGGAGGAGCTCACAGAAGAGTGGCTTCAAGACAAACTCAAGTTTTTCCGCTAAAACACGGATGAGGTACTATGATGAGGGTTGCCACCTGTCCTTGTTTTCCCAGGATTTTTAACGTAGTTGTCCTGTGAAATCTCGAAGTGTTCCTGGAACATTAAAAGTCCCAGTTATTATCAATTGAATAATAATAATACACCGCTCAAGATAAGGCATTGACATCTAGTTCTCTCTTCTGGCATAATGATATATTCTTCTTCCTCTCATGATATGCCCTTGGTTTTTCATAGCTCAGAGGTGGCGGCCATAACTAACAACCCATGTGGGATCAAGAGTGGTACAATGAGAAATCCCTCAGTATACCCTTCCAGTTTTGGCCTATTAAAAAAAAGGCCCATTGTTTTTTTTAATATATAAAACCCTTTCAATGTCTACAACACGTGCTTATTTATAAACAGTTTTCAATAAGAACGTGATTGCTTTGATAACCACATCCTCGGAAAGTAGGTTCCTGGTAGTGTTTTAAACATTTTGATTCAGGGTAAATGGACGTGATTGTCACCTTTTCAGAAAATATAGCAGTGCAATGGAGGCTGTATATTAAATGCACTTCCGACTGACATGATTTAAGAAATGCCTGTTTACTTCATGGTATGTACACAGATACATTTTTACAAAATTTCGTGATAAATGGAGATACTTAGACGTTTGTTTTACAGTTAATGAAAGGTGACATCAGGAAACACCATGGGAGCTAACATAGCCTATAGCCATACACGTTAACGGTAGCATAAGCGGTATTTTATGCAAACATGACAGTCGTATGCCAATGTAGTACACGTTTTATCGCTATGCATGAGTAAACCTTTTAAAGTGCAGTTGTGAATGTTTGGTAAATGCAATACAGCATGGTATTTTTTTTTACCAACATGTTTTCTACCTCAAATGATAAGCCAACATTCTCAAATTCAGCCTTACTTGACACACTCGTCTCGTACCAATGGCTTTCAGAAGCAAGTCCTCCAGTCGACCAGCATTGTAATGAAAACATTGCAATGAGAGATCAATGTGAGAGCTTTTGATAGATTTTTCGAAATGTACGAAATGAGGAAGAGATTTGGAAGTATTTTTAAGTGATACTTTTACTGAGCAGTATCCCTGCCGGTTATACAAGAGCGTTTGTTTTCCTTACATGACAGGGAAAATGTCTGCCATATATTAAATACAATATTGTCAAAGATTTTTTTTTTAAGTTGAAAAGCTATAATAATGCTTTATATTCTCTCTTGTAACACTCTTGGGAAATAGGGTTTAAAGTTTTGTTCTGTATTACAATACAAAGCACTGTTTTACTGCTTTGTATTGTATTTCTGAAAATGATATTGTTAGTTTATTATTTATTTTTTGATGCTGTGCTTTGGTATGTTTCGAAAGGACTTTTACATTTTTTGACATCAATTGTGTTTTTAAAATAGATCTAAAGTGTTGTTCTGTATTACTGTTATGCAATACAGTACAACATTACATTACTTTCATAATTTGTTTACGGTACTTACCATTCAAAGGTGTCTAAACATTTCCCCACAATATATGTCATGCACTGTTACAATGCTGTGTCTGCGAGCTTCATGTAATAAGTGTAATTTCTGCACAATTTTCGGATTTAAAAAATTATATTGTATAGCATGCCAAAATTTGGCGAACTTAAATGAATAATTTCTAAGACTTGCATTGTAAAAAGCAGCTAGGCAGTGTGTGGTGTCAACTTTTACATAAACCACTGCCCAGCAGCAGAAAATAAAGTAATTTTACTTATCAGGGACACCATTCCTTTGTGACAATTTACCCACCGATTTGTGATCAGTCCTCATGTCTTCTAAATGGTTATTTTGCCAGGAGTGTCATGACTGCATGTGTGAAAGACCTTTGCCCATGCTAAAATGCTATTTTGTACACCCATTGGAAGGATTCTGGCCTTAAGGTTGAGCTCAATAATGGGTTTGTGAAACCTATAAAAAATAATACATTGGAATAGGATGGTGACTACCATTGATAATATCAGCTGTGGCCATGCACATATCGCATAGCATAATGGTGATGCCACCTCCAGGCCATTGCACTTTTAATTTTGAAATGCAGTTGTCAAAGAAGGGTATAGCGATATACGAGATGAATGTTATTGATGTGTACAGTGTTGCTGTTAATTATCACTTGCCATTGTTAAACTTACTGGGAAATGTTTCGATATGACAAGTTTGGTCAGGTCGTTAAATTAATACTGCAGGGAACAAGTCCGTGGTTGCTAAATGTAAAGTGTTTTATAGGCGAAGTGGAGGGTATTAACTCAATGTGTGTATGACCCTTTTTTCTGCTGTTGCTGCTGTTGAAAATACATTTTTTTGTACTTATGCTTAAAACCTGATTAATTTTTAACAAGGCCCCTAGCAAAATTATTTACTGCATTAAGCAGTTAATCATACTTTTGACGTTTTGTTTAGTTTACACATGCATATGTCCTTAAAGTTTAATTGAATTCTCATCTCATTTGTTTTCATCTTATACAATTACTTGTAAGGGTCATGATCCTGAAATATTTCCTTATTTTTTAAAGAACGTTTTAAAATAATTGTTTTTTTTTAAAGGGCATAGCTTACATAAAAATGTACAATATATAATAATTAAGTGGTTACCGTTTTAGTGTGCTTTTACAAAAAATGTCTAAAGCATGATTACACAAATACATTGCTTAAAGGGTGATATCGTGTTTGTGCTTTATTGCGCTGATGGATGAGAAGGCACTGTTTCCCATGTTTATAGTGGGTGTGCAGTCGATGCTTTTCTCAGCCAGGTGTGGTTAATCGGGTTAAACTAAATTCAAGCGCGCGCAACATTCTCGTTATTAGCAGGATCAGTCATTCATTATAAGAAAACAAGAAAACACGTAGCAGACTGTGCTCAATGAAGGACATAAGTAGGACTAGATTCCCAAGACTCCAGTGCCCTCGTGTGAAGAGCTGATATATACTCAATGCTGGGGTTGACTATCAAATGTGACATTTATTTACAAGTTGTTTACTTTGCCTTGGAGGTAAGCACTGTTTTACTGCTTTGTATTGTATTTCTGATCATTATATTATTATTGGTTATTTTTTGAATTGTGTGGTATGTTTTAAAAAGACATGTTAAAATTTTTACATCATATTCCTCCACATTGTGTGATAAAAACCTGTCAAAATTACGAGCAATAAAACAGTTTTGTCTTTCGAGACCATTTAGTCACCATTATGTCTATCAATAAAGCTGGACTCAACGTGAAATCAATACAGCGTAAAGATGAGTCCCTTGTAAATGAGATATGGCATTCAATAAATGATTTCAGCTGCATAGAATTAGCGAGATGTAGCGAAAGCACAAGACGTTGAATGTCTGATTTATTTAGCAGTCACACATGTATCAGTCATGTAGTATTTGTAAATAGGCATAGCTTCTCACCTCAGCTGTTTGGTTGCCAGAATAAACTGTTGGGCTGGACTTGAATTGCCCTATAACAGCTGCCCACTACTTTGGAGTGGGACTCAACAGGGGCACAGCATCTGTTGTTTGCAGGCTCTACCGCATCGATCAGTGGGCACCCAAGTTGGTCTGGGTAAATAACACAACGATGCATTAATTCGTGCAGTGTTGAGTAATGTAGCGTCTGAAAAAATAGCTGACCAGTGTGATTACTTAGCACCACTAGGGTCACATACATGACATCTTAACCAGTTTCTACATTTCAAATGTTTAAATATCCGTTATCTTTTAAATAATCTAACAGAATTAGCTTGTTGCATTCTTTATATGATGCGCTATAAATATAGTTCATACTTGCATATACCACTTGTTAGTATTTTTACAACCGTACAGGCTAAGTAGATTCTGTACAATGTAGTACATTTAGTTTTGCAATAAATTGTGTTGCAATTATTTTAACGGGTGTTGTGTATGTCACAATGTAAACTGCATCAGTGATAGCGAATGTTTTCATGGAGAAATTTGAAGCAGATGCCATCCAGACATCCACCCTACGTCCTTCCTTGTGGAAGAGATACATAGATGACACTTTCGTCATTTGGCCACATGGCCTGCCAGCATTGAACCAATTTCTCAAACAAATCAATTACATACACCCATCCATCAAATTAACCATGGAAGTGGAGAAGGATGGTAAGCTACCATTCCTGGATGTTTTCTTTGAGAAGAGACCTGATGGCTCGTTGGGACACTGTCTACAGGAAATCTACCCACACAGATTCCTATCTGAAACCTGATTCCCACCACCATCCGGCCCAGAAGAATTCCCTCATCAAAACATTACACCATTGGGCCCACTGCAATTTCTGACCAACACCACCTAGCGAGTGAACTGGAACACGTACACCAGACCCTCAAGATGAATGGGTACTCGGACCGCATTATTCGCAAAGCCAATCAAAACCATCACTTTACCATACATAGCAGGTGTTACCAAAAATATTTCCAAAATCTTAAACAAACACAAGATCCAGGTCCGATTCAATACAGTACACAAAATCCCTGATCTAATCCCATCTGTGAAGGATGTCATTCCTGACGTGCAATATCCTGGAGTCGACAAACTAAGTTGCACCTGTGGTGGCTGTTACATTGGGGAAACGAAATGACATGTCTCCGACCGTGTTCGCGAACACAAGGCAGATCTGAAACATGGCAGAACCAATACTCTGCAAACCTTCGGGCTACTATCAAAGGTATGTTCAAAGGTTTGTTCATGAAGCCATCCAGATATATAAACATAGACTTAACTTCAACCGAGAAGATTGATACAAATTGAGCAATCATTGGAAGGATGTTATTAACCAGGTAAAGCCTTAACTGTTGTGGTTGTTTCCATCATACCTGCCGGTTACTAGTCTATTTTTCCGAGTCACTTTCCGCCCGTTTCCCCAGCTTTCCACTTCTAGCCCCGCCTACTTCCCCCCCAGCTTCACTTCTCCCCCTAGCGCTCACGCAGCCAACCTCCTTCCACTACCCCACACACCCCCTCTCTCTCCCCCCTTGCTCCTCCCCCCTTTCTTACCTATATAACCTCTTGCCACGGCAGCTCTCTCGCCCACTTCAGCATTTTTTTCTTGCTGTGGTGTTCTCACCTGATGAGGATTGCTTGTGTTGCGATCGAAACGTCGTGATCTGTTTTATTTGATATCTTTTTATTTCTACCTACGTGACTTTAGCGAAAGAACCAAAGAGTATGGATTCCTGCAGTAACGAAAGCTTCAAATCAAGATTATTTACGTTTGAGGAAATACACGTGAAAGTAGTTTTCATACAAATAAAGCACAGTTTATGAACATACGACAATAATTGGCTTTACTAATAGTTTTGTTCGTAGCAGGGGTCCTCATTGTCTTGCTGTTGACATTTGAAGTTTTGTTTAAAGCTCCTTTCCATTTGATCAGTTAGCTGACTGTGTGTTGAGCACGAACCAGAACCCCAAACAAAGCAATCAAATTGATCATGAGCACGTGATTACTCTAACAGAGCATTTAACATACCCTGTGATATATTTTTTAAACGCTTACATTTGTATTCGTAAGAAAATGCGTAAGAAATGATATTGAAAATAAACATTGTTTACGTGACAAACATTTCAAAATGTATGCTGAATATACAAAAAAAACATAGTTTTTGTTTATGTAATACTGTATAACAATGTTTTACGTAAGAGATGGATGGCTGGGTAGGTCAGAAGTCAGAGGGCTGAGCTGGCACTGCTGAGAGCTGGGGTTTGAAGCTGGGTTTCAGCCATCCGGGTTCTATATTGTAGTGAATTGATGGTCACCAGTAATTGCACAAAAAAATTATAATGTAAAATGTGGTTCTGCACTTGATTTGTATATTTCCCAACTGAGAATCAAAAACGTATATAAATGTGAATGTCACGTGACGAACATTACTCTGCAGCAAGGTGGGTGGGAAAGTGCTGCTTCTGCCCCCAAGTGTGGCTTAGAAAGGCCACTTGAGAGTTCTCCTTCTCTGGTCTATTGTCTAACATGGGGTGATCCACTTGTTTCATCTCATCACCTGAGGTCGATAGCATAATTGAAAAAAAAAAGGTGGGACAAGACAAAAAAATGTTAACTTAATTTGCATTGGCTTAGAAACATTGATCCCTTTGGTTTTCATTGTATGCCAGTTTCACTGCAAATCACCATATTATCACATGTAAAATGTAATTTGTCATCGTCGGTTTCAATAGTGATATGTTTCTTCACAAACATGGATAAATTCGATTAAACGTTTTGTATGACTACAATGTTTAACTTGTTATATGATAGCTTCCTGTAACTTTCTCTTTATGTCCATGGTATGTCATTACATAGCATCATATATGGTACTTCTATATCATTTATAGCATTAATTTTAACCAAATGTACTTGGAAATCTGTACTTAATTAAATATCCATAAGTTTTATTTCATGCTCACATCGACCACTCACGTTGCTCCCCCACCAGAAGTCGAGCACCGGCAATATAAATAAAACAAAGCAATGAATTTAACAAGCTGACTTTATTATTGCAAATTTCAAGGTCACAAAAATGTCATCTTAACTTGGTTTCTCGGGAGGCACATCACTCTCATATTTGTTCAGTGTGATGTCAAACAACTGATGTCAATTGTTACCTCATCAGTGTGTCGCACAAACAGGTATATTTTTGATCCATAAAAAAAATACGGATTTGCATAAATGTATTGACATAAATAAATGTAATACTTTCAAATTTGCATATTAATCTAAACCCGTGTAACTGGGCTGGCTCAGAAAAAAATATTTACATGTTGATCTAGAGTAAAGGTGCTAAAAGTTTTGTGAAAATGATTTTACTTTGGTTGTTGCTATGGTATTTCCCACATTTAGCAAATTAGAATACTGCTTTATAAAATGTATTGGTTATTTGGCAATTTCTGTTTAATTAAGATGAAAGCAAAGGAATTAATGTAATGGTATCCTTTGAAAATATTACATGGATAAAAAGCAGTTTCATAACAAAAAGTAATATATATGCAAAAGACTTGTGAACATTTCAGATTATTTAGCAAATTACACTGGAAATAAACTACAGTATTTGCATTTGAATATCCTTAGTTCTTTTTGCATGGGTTTTTTTCAGCACTCCTTAATAATTGTTCCTAGCTCCCCGAGGACAGCAATTGTCTTCAGGGAGTGAGTGTAAGTTAAACGACGTATTCCTTCAGTGTTTAGCAGTATTTCTTCAGTATTTAGCAAATTACACTGGAAATAAACTACAGTATTTAGTATCTTGTCATACGATGATACATCCCTGCCTGTTAATTTCATCTAATTATGTTAGGTTATGTATAGTACATGTAGTTTATAGGGTGGAACAGTGGCATAGTGGTTAGCACACTGCTATGAGCTCAATCACCCGAGTTCAATTCCAGGCTATGCATACCCTCAGAGGCCAGGAATATCTGAGCCAGTGCTTGATCTCCTCCTTGACACACCTGTACTGACCGGTGTGAAGTATGGTCAAATAACCCACAGGACCGACATGGCGTGAAAAGACCTTAATTCAGTGGTGGGTTGGTAAAAATGATCATACAGTATACATTTTACAGGAAAAAGGGACTATTGTCTGCCTCATTCACTTAAGAAACGGACCTTCTGGACAACTGGTTTCAGTGTCTGCATGGACCCTTTGGACTACACGCCTTACAAACCCGCAGAAAATTTCTTTAAAAACTCATAAGGCCACAGTGTTTGGCCTCAGAATGTTATTCACAAGGATTTCATTTACTGAATTATTGTAGCTTCACTTTCCATACAACAATAACAAATGCCACCATTAAAAATAAGCAGATTATTCAAGAATGAAATCCTTTATAAACCAATAACTTTTTTTAGTTCCTTTGGCAATGTATTACTCTGCTTATTTTTTCCATAATACACCACTTTATTAAAGTATTGGCATATTATATTTTTAAGAAAATTATAAATTTAGCTAGAACATATTTTTGTTACATGCTAAAGTCTCCGAGCAGGATTCCCACATGAATTTATAAGAAAAATAATACGTGTGTATGCTAAAATATTTAACAAGAAATCAGTTACTGTATTTGTTTCACTTGAAAAACGTGATGTGTCCAGAGGCATCTGGTACTTTCTGATTCATCAAGATTTAAATCGCTAACTCCAAGATAAATTGTAGCAATGCACCACCAGAATGTCATATTCAATTACTCAAGTGGGAAAGGTTGATTTCATTGTTATATTATAGTGCAGGTGATGTAAATAGCAATTCTCTTCAATTAGTTGTATTTCCTGAATTACATACATCCATGCCATCTATACACCTAAAAAGTAAACATTCTTCATGGATAAGCTGGGAAGAGATCTTGAATCAGCATTTTTCTCTTGTACTATTGGATGACATGAGGGCTTTTGAGTGAGACATAAGCAGAAGCCTGTTGCCAGGATAAGTGCTCACAATTTATTCACTGAATGTGCAAACAAATGGCCGCACAGCATTACACATCTATGGGAAAAGACACTGTAAAAGAGCTTTCAATACAGTATAGTAATCGACGGAAGTTTTCGCGTAAACACATGTAAACTTTACATTCTTTGCAGAACGAGTGACTTCCCAGCTATGGTGCCTGATATAAATCACAGTACATAATTGGTTAGAGTGCTTTGTAAAGTGGAATTTTATTATGAAAAACAACATTCCAATGCCTCTAATGAAGAGGGTTTTCAAACTGAGCATATCAGCTGTGCCACAGAGCAAAAACTGGGATTCTGACATAAAATGGGCTATCAAGCTGAGAATTACAAAACACGTGCTGGGAATTGCAGTGAAGGGAATAAAACATTGATCACAAAAAACGTCACATTGACTTTAAACAGTGGGCTAGGGAAGAACACATACAGTACTTCTAAATGATGGCCAATTGACGAGACTGGCGAAATGGCAGCCAAAAGGCGGAGCAAACAAGAGATGACGTACGGCGCAAGACCGTGACAACATGAGGCCTTCATCCAGCAGTGAATAGATAATGGCTGACTGTAATTGGGTTATACTGTGCTGTTTAAAAATACCGTCGAATGCCTCGTGAAATAGAATAAAATGTTTATAACTTTATGCATGGCGCAGAGACCCCTGGATGAATTATGCCTTATAAATGTAAATTGTTATATAAAAATTGTACAGATCATCATCATCGCTGCCATGGTAATCTCTCACGATCCTGCGCTGTAACATTCCACTAAGGAATTGTACACGAGCTGATGACATCGCTCCATCTCCTCGAAGGTGGTCGCCGTCATTCTTGACCTATAATGCACCATCAAAACGTTCTTGCAGCGTGTCCCTGTCTCAATATTAGTTCCATCTCCACAAATGGCTTATACATGTACGCTTTGTATTAATGTAAATATAATTCTTCCTAACTTGATACAGTAAGCATTAGCCTTGTCATAAAATACAATCTTAATCTTTCGATCTTGGGGACATGTTTTCCAGCAACATTTATTGAAAAAGCAACTATGGAACCGGTTTCAACATTGAGTCTCATCAGCAGGGTAAAAATAATGATGGGTTGTGAGTAGACAATTGTGTAAAAGATCTTAAAAGTGACCGTTACCCCTGTAAATGATACTGTATGGCATAAAAGTTTAAACTTTACATGATCGGAGCTGATGATGAAATAATAAATGGCTGTACAAACGTGTTTACCAAGCAATTTGTACAGTACTAGAAAAAGCAAACGAGTTACGCATCTAAGTTTATTCCACATGACAATGTATATACGCATTAGTCAGGATCAAGCAACTGCTAGATGAAGGCCTCTCCAAGCTAAAAAAAAAGATTAAAAAAACAAGACCACCTCTAAACAAAGTCAACTGCAGGTATTCCGAAAAGAAAGCCGTCGAAAGCTGAACGAGGAGGTAAAAAAAAACCCTGGGACCCCCACACCGGCGGTGACATCTGGATTCAAACGCCAATGCCCCTGCCTCGTCCTAGTGCCGAGGCCAACGCACTGCTACCAACGCGACCACGTGCGCGCGTCCCCCCCCCCCCCCCCCCAGAACCGGAAGCACGTGGCGTTGTTTGGGTTCTGAACCGGAAGTCGCGCTGGGGGGTGGGAAGAGGGGGGGGGGGTAGTGGAGAGTCGAGGGGGTAGAGAGAGAGAGAGGGGAAGCGGAGGGGGCGGGGCTGCGGAGGGGGAGGGGCTGCGGGGGGATGTGACGTCGCGGTGACGTCACGGCCAGCTGAGCAGCAGCAGCAGGAGGAGGAGGAGGCGACGTCTCCCGCCGTCGCCCACTCCGCCGCTCTCCCCTTTTTATTTTTATTTATCTTTAATTTCTACTAAACATTTTTTACGCCGTTGCGACTTTGCCCCCCACCCCACCCCCACCATCACCTCGCGTCGTCGTATGTTCAATTGTTAGCGCTGGGTTGTTGTTGTTGGCTGTTGCTACTCGCCGTTGGCGGCCGATAGAGCAACCGGGTGGTCTTGTTCGGTGTTAGAGACCCACACACAACACACACACAACGACAACAACAACAACATCACCGTACACAACAACCACTCATATTTTATTATTATTATTTAATTCAACCCATCGTTCGCGGGCGGCCGTGTCGCAGCTGGCTCCGGCAGCTGGGTGACGCACGGCACCCGCCGCGGCGCGCAACTCTGGCCTCCTCTTCAGACTCCGAGGCCGGTGGAGCTTCCCCGCCGCCACGCAAGAAACAGCGGCTCGGCCCGCCGGGCATGCAGGCCAACGGCGCCGCCTCGACCACCTCCGCCTCCACCTCTACCACCACTGGAGCCGCCGCAGCCGCCGCCTCCTCCTCGTCGTCGTCGTCCCCGTCCGCGTCCACGTCCACGTCGTCCTTAGTCGCCACCGCAGCGGCAGCTTCAAGCTCGACTCGAAACGGAGAGAGCAGCGCCGAGGAAGTCTCGGCGTCGTCGCCGCCGACACCAACAGGACTCCCAACTGCGGGAGCTGGAGGAGGAGGAGGTGGTGGAGGTGGTGGTGGAGGTGGTGGAGGATCGTCCTCTCGACCCGGCTCGCCGCCCCAAGCCAACGGGGTTGGCGGGGGCTCAGCTGCCGGGTCGGGGCCGGCGGGGGCGGCCGCCAGACGGAAGAAGAGGCTGTCGCAGACGGACGAGGACATAATCCGTCTGGTCGGGCAGCACCTACACGAGATGGGGCTCAGGTGAGCCGCGATGGACCAACCACCCCCCCCCCCAACACACCTTCTTCGCCGAAGCTGTCTCGCTAAACCCTCCGCATTTGATTTCTCGGAACCCCTGGGCACAAACCACAAACCACCCTCGCCACCGCGCTTAATTCTACACCCCCCATCATCCAGTATCTTAACACGGTAATTAATTGGCAGCCAGAAACCACCACTACAATCGTGATCACGTCTCGTCCACGTTGCGAGTAGTGAAGACTCAGAGGAACGGATGAGGTGGTGAAACACAATGGAAGCGGTGTAATGAAATGCGACAGAATTGCCTGCCAGATTCGTCAGCTTGGCTTTGTTGATGTCCCTTAAATGCCGAGACTGCTGCCGTCTGTGGTTGGGTGTGCGCCCTCATTATTGTCCCGTTAAGGCAGAGAGAGACCAGCGGTCGTCTTGATGGTGTTGCTGGCCATAACGTTGATGGTTTACTGCTGCTGATGGTGTGGTGGTCATGATATGTGCTGGTGCGATCGTGCGTTGTGTACTTGTGAGCCTGTGGTGAGATGGTGTGCTGGCAAGTGTGACAATGACGTGTTGCTGATATGATGATGGTTCGCTGGTGATTGTTTGCTGGTTACTGGTGTGTTGGTGTTACTGTGTGTGATGGTGTGTTGGTCACGTGCCATTGGCGATGTACCCGGCGATGGTACAATTGTATGATGATGTTGATGATGCCCCTAAATGTCTGCGCCACATTCCCTTGCAGCCAAACTGTCGACCTACTAATGCAGGAATCCGGCTGTCGGCTCGAACATCCTGCAGCCACCAAATTCCGCAGCCATGTCACGGATGGCGAGTGGGAGAAGGTACCGGAACCTGGTTGCAGGGGGGGGGTGTGGGTTGTGGAAGATATAAAAAAACATCTCCGGGATTTCTTCACTGAACACCACTACTCATTTTCATACACTGTATATTTTTCACACGTAGCATTTTGCCGAGAGAGACGGTGCGAGCCGGTCACTCAGCTGTGTTGCCTTTGTGTTTCAGGCTGAAGCTGATCTAAATGAGCTGAAACCTCTTGTGCATTCGCCCAACGGAACCGTGGTAGGAATTCATGCCTTGCGACCTATTTCGACATCTCGTGTTGCCAGCCAAAATGTTTTATCTACTCGCACAACCACCCATCCACTCTCCACTGTTACCCCCCCCCCTTCTGTCTCCTGCTACATTACCACAATGTCCACGTCTGTGCACAGCCTGGTTATAATCCAGTAATATGTTGAGATTAATGCATTGAATAACCCGTGCGGCATCGGGTTTAAGAGGTCACAATGCGTTGCGCCTCTACAACATACAGTGTCTCATGCTTAGCTGCAAGAACCTGCGACTCAAAATTCACGTGTGAACAAAGAAATCTCCGTTGACACGCACTGTATGTTTTATTTCGAACGGTAATGGGGGTAGGGGGGGGGGACTCGTTATTTTCCAGCTTCCTGCACTGAACTGGTTGGGGGTGGGGTTGGCGGATTTGGACAAAGGCTTTGGGGACACGAGTGTGAGGATTGGTGTTTTAACATTCAGGGAGGAGGGTGTGGTGGTTGTCAAAAAATCTAGCAAGTAGACCTTTTACAGTGATGTAAATAGAGTCCAGCGAGCCAAACACCATTGAGAATATAATTTAATCACTTTACTCTATAATTGGCAGTTTATACATATTTATTTTAATTTACGATAATACACGTGCGCTTTTAAACGGGTAATGTGTGCTGCGAAATATGTATAATTATGCGGTCATGTGTTTTGCAAAGAACATTTTGCCGGCATTGTTGTTTTCTTGTTTGGTTGCCATTGTGCTCTTAGCTCTGTCAAGACATCGGGAGTCACACACATGGCGACACACTCGTGATAAATGTGACCTACGAGATATGAATCGAATAACACTTAATTTTTCAGTTATGCTTTTGCGTTTCATTGTTTAGTACAATATTTTATCAGGTTTTTGTTGTTGTTGCAAAATACACTCTTGGTCTAAATGTGCTCTAAAATTATGATGGTTTAACATGGATACAGTATTTAGTGAAATACTTGATAGTGTCCTCTAATCGTGAATATTGCTTTCCACTGACCAAAATTGCACGCACATGTATATTCCATTATGCTCGGACTAATTAATCTTCTTGTCCACAGTGTAAAATTGCGAATTAACATAGCGCATCATTTTACATAATGCAGCATCGAGGACTTGCATTATAGCCACTCAGAATGCACGTTATTTTGAATTGTTTAATAATACGATAAATGTTTTTTTTTATAGGCACTTCAGTATAACAAATTGTAGGCAGACCTCATGATAACACGCACTACTTTGAACCACTGTCTAAACTGCAGACAGGACAGATTTCCACACACGTGTTTGCCGGATCAAGTTTTACTTGAGAAATAATCTACAAGGCATTTTAGTGAAGGTGGAAAACGCACTGTCCTGCACTGTACCACATCAAGCACACCTTTTTCTATTTGAAATCTGAACGCATTTCCCCAGAAATGTTAAGTCATTGCAGCATATTATGTATACCATCAGTGGCACACGAAATATTTAATACATTGGTATACAGTGCAGTATTTCGGTTGCGGAGGCCTGTCATGGAAACAATGCCCAAATACTCTAAGGTTTTTGAAGACGAGATCATTTTCATAGGCATTGCAACATAAATGTTCGCATGGTGGTGTGGGCTTCTGGGGCCCCTTCGAAGGTGGCTAAAACTCGACAAATGCAATTGTAATAGAAATATGAGCCGTTTCCTTGTAATTGCATACTTCAGATTGTTTGCCCCACATGTTTTAAAACCCATTTTGATGTAGGGAGTCATCTGCAAGAATTGTTGTTCATTAAAATAATTAAAGTAGGGGAGTATCAATTTACAGCATTCCTGTCTGTCATGGGTGTTTGGTCATCCATGATCCTTCACCATGCTTGCAAGTTTGAGTTGGTGAAGGGTGGGCCCAGGACTTGTTCAGGTATCACTCGCCACTAATGTTAGCCATGGCTGGAAATCAAACTCCGGTCACTGGGTTTATAGCTCAGCGCATTAATAACTGCTCCACCTCTTCCCGGTGTTTCAAAATTGTGATTTTTAGCTATGGTTTTCTCTATGAACTAAGGAACATTTTTGTAAATAAACACTCCTATATCCTTAAGAAAGCACCTATCTTTCATCCAAATGTGTGCCAAAATAATTTACCAATATGGAGATTTGGCCTTAGTTTTGTTGGTGCTGCTTTGGAATTATATTTCTTGTATCCCTTTCTGGTTCCCGTTATCATACATGGTTAACTGAAATGTCATTCCTGCACACTCCTTGTACTCCAGTGGTCAATCATATAGCATTGACATACTTGCAGCAAAGTATTAAGCAGTTGGTTGGCTGGTTTGTGCGGGATGATAAAAGTAAATGCCGCATTTTCATTGTTATTTGAAATGCAGCAATGAGATGATGTGTCATGGAAAACCTGATACATTTCGTGATTTTTATTTTACGTTAATATGCACACCTTTACAAGTGGACAGCTTGCTTATTGCAAGGACACATACACAAGCTGTGCTCCACTCAGTGATGTAAAGTACTCTGGATGACTCTACTATCAAGTTTATGGCATCTGGCATTTGTTGCCCAATTGGATACCAGAATGACGACACCGTTTTACTTGTTTACTTTTCTGAAAGTAAATTTGGCTAACTGCTTTTTTCACTGTTCTCAGGCCCTTTCATCCAAAAATGCCACAAGTATATGTAATGGAGGATTTGGAGAGTATTCAGTGGGCTCAACGAAACTTTTAAATAAAATAAGTCGAATGTAGAAACATCATTTGCACTGGCCTGATCAAATTATTACGTGTGGTGTTGTTGGCCATGTAAATATTAATTTGCTGCTGTAAATAGTTTAGGTGCTTTTTTTATATATGTTATTGAAGACAATGGATCGCATGCTCATTATTGTCCTAAAAAGACATTACACAAATAGAAAATTACTCGACTGGAAATTCATATTCTTCTCCCAGCCCTCGCAAAACATCACCAAGTTCTCGAATTGTGAAGGTTATTTCAGAAGTGCGTTACTATTTAAATGAATTCACTAAATTGTCATTACTGTCTGCTCATTTTGTGTGTGTAATATAAATAAGCTTGAAGGCTTATGACCAAATGTTATCTTTAACATTAAAGTAACAAATTTTACACGCACTGCACTTTTTATGTGTGTGGTTGAGAATAGTGATAGGATGCAGTGATATGGTAGTTAGTTTTGCAATCGTGACATAAGAAGTAGTGACAATGTTTATCATAGTGCACGAGAATCACTGGCTCACGTAAACTTCATATGACCGAGTGTGCAGTGTTGTCTTTGCCACTGGGGAGACGATAATGGCCATGGGATAAGTGGTCAACACAGCTTTAATTAATATATGGTAATTTCTCAATGGTCTGTACAAGTCTTCGGAGTGATCTTTTGTGAATGTAGACACACTGACCTTGCTCAAAGTATTGGATTTCATTCCTTGATTTTTCACATGTAACGCTCACCTTATGTTAAAGGGAGTGTTTAAGTAGGTGTTGAGTGCAGTAAAGTTGCAGTAATCAATTATCTGCAATGAGAGACTTGCTTCAATTGACATGAACTCCCATGTGTTGTCCCTACCTTTTTAAGGGTATGGCATGTGTTTCCAACAATTGGTTGTTTGCAAAATACAAGAGCATGCAAGCATTGGGAAGTAATGGGTTTTGTGTAGAATTCAATAAAAAGGGAAAACAAGCTTCCACCTGCAAAGAATATATATATTTTTTATAAATATACTTCAAATAAATACCTAAAATTAAGAGCCAAAAGTGTTGCACACTGATTCTCCGCCAATATTTTTTTTCCCTTGAGTTATTGGCGAGGAGTGTTTTTTTATTATCAGTACGGCCCAGGCTGACAATTGATAATAGTTATTTTCTTTGAGAATTGTATTTATATATCTCATGTGTGCGATAGCAAGATCAGAATGGTACATTCGATGAGACAAGGGTAATGAAAGAAGGGTACCGGAATATGTATGTTTTATGAAGAATATCATTTTGGTAATTGTTTTGATAAACCTAAGATATGAAACTAAATAGAAAATACCCGTAATATAGATGCTATAGATTTCTACTTGTGGTGAATACTACTGATGGTGAATACTGGTAGTATTTCCATCCAAATTGTTACAGATCAACCCTTTTAGATCATGGGCTACATACAGTAATTTGGGTATTGTATCATGACATCCAATAATTATGTACTTTTAATTATTATTTTATGGGTTATTGGCTGTTAAACTGTACAATTTCTTTATATGACGCTCTTGGCAGCTGGGTGGTGCAGTGGTAACACTTGTGCCTGGCATCAAGAAGGACCTAGGTTCAATTCCTGACTCGGACACCTTTCTGTCTTGAGTTAGTTTGCTCTTCCCCTGTTCTGTGCATAATTTTCGTTCCATAGCAAAATATAAAAGTGAACGTATCATATCACTGGTACCGGCCACACATACCAAATGGTGAAAAACTACCAGCAATTACTCAATTGGGATTACAGTCGGCAATATCACTTCCTGCTGCGAAAATTTGGCAGGACCCTCTTCAAAGGGAGTCAAGCCTCAAGGCTTTCCTGGATCAGCAAGCATAAATGAAGGACATGCTTTATTTCCTTTATGGATGTATGTTGTAGTTCATTTATAATGTAAATGGGATAAACGGTTACGTGTTTTACATTTAGTATGTTTTCAATATTTGGACGTACGACATCATTCATGTCGTGGAAGTAACTCCATCAACACTCACACTTGATGTGCGAGTTTTTTCACATTCTTCTCAGGCCTTTGTATTGAAACTTTCATAGGTAAAGGCACTGCCGTTTCGTGTCGATTACCCTGTACATGAAACTTGTGTACACTTGACATCGTGAGTTTTTATAAATTTGAATGCTTCAGGGTGCCTTATTTCCACTAAGGCATTTGGCCACTTTACTGAATTCTGAGAATTTTAAGAATTATTTTTTATACAAGTCTGGCTATTAAGTGTGTTTTTG